TTTTCGTTCTTTGTATACAAAACATTTCTGGTTTATGTGTGTGTTTTGAAATGGGTGTAGAAGGCGTCAGGCGACACTTTCAAGGGCGTATGCATCGAGAAACATACACTTGACATGCACATAGAAACATTAGACATACACTGAGAGTTTAACTTAATAACTAGAATAGGGAGTGTAAATGTTCTTTGACGGGTGTTGGATGATTTACATGCAGCCTCAGTGACTGTTTTCTAGTGGTCCTGGGTTTGAAACCCAACCTACCAGCCAACCAGCCTACCTACCAACCACCCCACCTACCAACCAGCCTATTTACTAACCAGCCTACCTACCAGCCTACCTACCAACCAACTATCAGGCACTTGTGCTGTTTCCTGGCATACTAACTACCACAGCTCACAACAATTCTTTCATTCTTCCGTGACAAGATACACACGATAGTTTCAAGAGAGAGAGAGAGAGAGAGAGAGAGAGAGAGAGAGAGAGAGAGAGAGAGAGAGAGAGAGAGAGAGAGAGAGAGAGAGAGAGAGGAAGATAAGAGAGAGAGAGGATGAGAGAGAAGAGAGAGAGAGAAAGAGAGAGAGAGAGAGAGAAAGAGAGTACAGTTTAGGTTCAATTATAAGAGAGTAAAGGTTCAATTTCACACAGGATGGTAGAGGCGCAGATAGAGCTGGGCTGAACAAATGAGCTCGTAACAGAGCTTACTCTTGTTATTCTTTTACTCTAAGAACATGAAAATGGAGGAACGCTAGAGCAGGTCTATTGCCCCCCGTACTTGGCTGGTCCTTCTCACCTTCTCAAAGAGAACCCGTGGCCTTATCCACATCATTATTTCTCTTTATCTCAGCCTGACAGAAGCGTTTACAGACCTAATTACCGGTCTGGATGGTGGTTGGTCCCGTTACTTGTGAGGTCTAGCGGATATGGGAGCTTACAGCAGCCCAGTCTACCCAACCAAGCCCATAGCTATTATTTAGCCCACGAGATCACAGACTGCTGTCAAGTCTGCGCTATGACCAAAGCAAAGAGGGATGCCACTGTGTTAACGCCGAAGCCTATAAAGTTTTAGAGCCGTGCCGCCTTCCGAAACCTCGGGACCAAAGCCTGAAACCCAAGGCCGAAACGTCTTTTCATTAAAATGCCGCAAACCGCAATATTGTGGCCTCTAGACCTAAGGCTACAAGAGTTGGCTTTGATCTAGAGACCGATAAGGTCTCGAGGCTGTATAGGCCGGGTATTAGCCAGAAAGGACAAACCAGCGGACAAAAAAAAAAAGAAGGTCCCAAGAACTTTAATAAGGTCGCAACAAGACGAAGTATTAATGTGGGAAGAAGTAAAGTCATCTTTATTTGCTAAGAAGGTAATAAAGAAGAACAACGAGAGAAAAACAAACAGGAACACCTGCGCTAAGAACTCCTTTGACGAAGACGTCAGCTAAAAGGAACACAGACGCAACTAATGCGACATTTTATTGCGGCAACGTATCGCTCTCCAGAAGCTTTGTCACGCCGGCTTGACAAAGCTCCTGGAGAGCGAAACGCTGCCACAATAAAATGGCATATCAGTGTCCTTTTAGCTAACATTTTGTCGGTAAATTTTACGGTTATTACTTTACTGAAGACTTTACGGTCCCAAGACCGAAACGTCGTCAGTATGTACTCACCATCTATTAAACACAATTTTTGTAATTTGTCATTGAAGAGAAATGGTAGATAATATCGACGTGAAGGACAGAGACAGACACAACTACATCCTTTATTGACAACGTTTCTCACACGCAGTGTTTTTTTTTCCTAATTCCAAAAAAGTAAAAAGGACACATGTGCAACTAACGCATTTTACTGTGACAACGTTTCGCTCTCCAGGAGCTTTGCCAGGCCGCTGCCAACATCATTGCAATCCCCCAAAAAGTGACCTCCCTGCATAGGCGAAACGTCGTGTTGACACCTGGGAGAGAGTAGGCTAAGCCTTTTCATCTAACGACTTTTTGCTCCACCTTTAACGTTAAGTAAACGTTTTACCCAGCGTCTTTGACGGAGCACTGAACAGGTCCTGCCAGTCTTCCTTCACACTCAGAAATCGCTAAACACAGCCATTATTATGGCTGTGTTTAGCCACACAAGCAGCTCGTTGCAGCCACTTAACACGGCTTCATCGACATAATGGCGTCAATAACGTAATGACTTCAACGATGTAATGGCGTCAACGGCGTAATGGCGTAAACGACGTAATGGCGTCAACGACGTAATGGTGTCTACGACGTAATGCTTCAACGACGTAATGGCGTCAACGACGTAATGGTGTCTACGACGTAATGGTGTCTACGACGTAATGGTGTCAACGACGTAATAACTTCAACGACGTAGTGGCATCAACGACGTAATGGTGTCTACGACGTAATGGTGTCTACGACGTAATAGTGTCAACGACGTAATAACTTCAACGACGTAATGGCGTCAACGACGTAATGGCGTCAACGACGTAATGGCGTCAACGACGTAATGGCGTCAACGACGTAATGGCGTCAACGACGTAATGGCGTCAACGACGTAATGGCGTCAACGACGTAATGGAGGGAGGGATGATATTTTTTATTTTATTTTATTTTATTTTCAATATCAAATTAGAAATTTGCGTTTACGTGATTCTAATTTTACGCATAAACTGAAGTATACGTTATTCTGACTTCAGTGATGTGACTCTGAACGTTAGCTTCAGTGATGTGACTCTGAACGTCAGCTTCAGTGATGTGACTCTGAACATTAGCTTCAGTGATGTGACTCTGAACGTCAGCTTCAGTGATGTGACTCTGAACGTCAGCTTCAGTGATGTGACTCTGAACGTCAGCTTTAGTGATGTGACTCTGAACGTCAGCTTCAGTGATGTGACTCTGAACGTCAGCTTCAGAACAACATGTGGGAGTTGAACGACGACATTCCGGTTCTTATGAAATATATCTTGTGTTAATGTTGGTAGAATTACCGACGATATGTCAGGCAAGAGGACACAAGTGCAACTAATGTGACATTTTATTGTAGCAACGTTTCGCTCTTCAGGAGCTTTGTCAAGTTTTGTCAGAGCTCCTGGAGAGCAAAACGTTACCACAATAAAATATCACATTAGTTGCACTTGTGTCCTGAGGGAAGCAGACTTTTGTACTATATGCAACGACGCGATAGAGGTGAAACGAGATTGCAGCGACGTGATTTAAAATTCGGCAAATGAGAAAGGTTAGCGGAGAAATTTGAGGCAGATAATGAGTGGAATAAGATGTTAAACAGAAGGTAATACGTGGGGACTACATGGAAAATTTAGATCGCCGAAAGCATTAAAGGTCTTGAGAGAGTATGGTAATGGTAATGGTATGGCTGCTGAAATGCGCCTACTTAATGAGTGGAACTCCCGAGTAGCATCACTGAAGCAAAATCTTTGAGTATCTTAACAAGAAAATAGGCTGGACAAGTACATGAGTGGATGTAGACGTGAATAGCATGGGCCTGTAGACATACCGCAGTGTTCCTCCTTATTTTGTGATCTTATTAGCTCTCTTCATGGGAATATACCAATGAATTACCAATGGGAATATACCAATGAATATACCATGAATTAATAAAGTCCCTATCGGACGGATGAAACGTCCTCAAAAATAAAATGTCATAATCCACATAGTGTGTTTTATTTACCATCCTGAGAGGGACTATCCAAATTCTGGTCATATCTACTTTCTTTCTAAATATATCGGGAAAGGATAGTACCGCTGAAGGCTGAGAGTGAGGATAGGCGAGAGAGGCCAGGTGAGAGAAGTGACAAGAGGTGAGGCTAGCGAGACAGTTGAAGATACTGTGCATCATACCTGGCAGCGAGAGTGTCGTGTTGCTGACTGAAGGAGAAGGGAGAGTCACAGGCGGAGTCCTTCTTCGGGTCATCACGGCTGAGAATGCTGGAGATGCTGAAGGACTTGTGTGAGGGCGGCGACGAGGTCTTGGGAGAACTGGCGCCGCTGTCCGAGCTCCTGGCGGGGTTGGGGCTGGTGCTGGAGACCTCGGGAGTGGCCGCCGAAGTCCTGTGGACGTCTCCGAGGATGGAGATCGGAGAGCGCCGCCCCAGGGGAGAAGGAGACCTGCTGGAAGCCACGGCGGGGCTGCCGCGGGTGATGACGCTAGCTACTTCGTAGGACATAGTGCGAGGCGGTGAGAAGGCTATCACAGTCACCTCATAGCGGCAGGTGGGCCGGCACTCACGTGGCACCTACCGCGGCCTTCAACACCCAATAACGCTCACCAACTTCTGCCTAATAAGTCAAATAATCACTTCCAAAGTCCGGTAAACTGATGATAAACTTTATCAGCGTCAAACTTCCCTAGTTTCAACGTCAGTATGAGCGCAGTTGAACTGGTAGTTGGCACAAGTAGTGTCACCTAGGTGCGCCAATTGAACAGGTGAGGAGCAAGTGAAAAAGTGCGCTTATTGCTCCGATGCCGAACGCGGAGTGACGATAGAAGCAGAGAAAAAGCGAGCATTTGAGTCTCAAGTGGAGCCGCCATTTCCCCGCCCACAAGACTAATGGCTTCGATCTGCTCCCTGCTTCCCCGCGGTCATTGGCTGCCGACCAGCAGGGAGGTGTGGCCTGCCTTCCAGACCTGCCACCCCATTGGTCCAAGACCTTGAGTGCTGAAGTATCATGCTCGTTTTGATTGGCCCAGCGCCAAAGTTAATTTCCCGCCGCTACAAGTGTAGCGGCGGGCGTAAGTGTGGAAGGTGACACCCGGCTTGACGCTCGGCTGGATTGGGTCCCCATCACTGAATAATTTATGAAGGATCACCCACACACGCACGCAGGAGTCAAGATGGCTCGGGCACTGATACCCTCCTCCTCCCGGCCGCCCCTGCTGAGGGAGATGACGCGTGCCACAATACCAGCCAGCAGGTCCAGGACCTGGTCTCAAGACGCGGCATTGGTCTTACAAGGATATCGCTCTACAAGTTTTTTTTTGTTCTTTTTTTTTACCTGCTGGCGGCAAGGAAGGAGGGGAAGGGAGGTGGGTAGGGAGAGCGGAAGGGGGTGAGCAGGAATGGCACTGGTTGAGAGACGTTAATGCTGTGTGTTGGGGCACTTCCTTGTGGTCATTACATGGCACCTTCTCTGAGCGGAGCGGCAGAGAGAGAGAGGTTCACCTTTGCTGCCTCGTCACTTACTGAAGAGTTGAGAGCATCGTCAGCAGCACGACAGCCAGTAGTGTTGGGTCGTCAGCAGCATGACAGCCAGTGGTAGGTCGTCAGTAACACGACAGCCAGTGGTGGTGGGTCGTCAGTAGCACGACAGCCAGTGGTGGTGGGTAGTCAGTAACACGACAACCAGTGGTGATGGGTCGCCAGCAGTACGACAGTCAGTGGTGGTGGGTCGTCAGCAGCACGACAGCCAATGGTGGTGGGTCATCAGTAACGCGACAGCCAGTGGTGGTGGGTTGTCAGTAGCACGACAGCCAGTGGTGGTGGGTCGTCAGCAACACGACAGCCAGTGATGGTGGGTTGTCAGTAGCACGACATGCCAGTAGTGGTTGGGGCGTCAGTTACCGGCAGCTGTTGTGGGTCGTTCAGCAGCACGCTGCCAGTGTTGATGGGTCGCAGCAGCAGAAGGTCACATGGTGGTGGTCGTCAGTAACTACGAAGCCAGTTGGGATCGTTGCAGTAGCATGACAGCCAGTGTGGTGGGTCGTCAGCAACACGACAGCCAGTGATGATGGGTTGTCAGTAGCACGAGAGCCAGTAGTGGTTGTGGGTCGTCAGTAGCACGGCAGCCAGTGTTGGTGGGTCGTCAGCAGCACGACAGCCAGTGGTGGTGGATCGTCAGTAGCACGACAGCCAGTGGTGGTGGGTGGTCAGCAACACGACAGCCAGTGGTGGTAGTGGGTCGTTAGTAACACGACAGCCATGGTAGGTGGTGTCAGTCAGCATCGACAACCAGTGGTGGTGGGTCGTCAGCAACACGACAGCCAGTGATGATGGGTTTCAGTAGACATGACAGCCAGTGTGGTTGTGGGTCGTCAGTAATACGCAGCCAGTGTGGGTGGGTCGTCAACACGACAGCCAGTGTGGTGGGTGGTCGTCAGCAGCACGATAGTAAATGGGGTGGGTCGTCAGTAACACTACAGTCAGTGGTGGTGGTTGTCCAGTAAGCATGACAGCAGTGGTGGTGGGTCGTCATAACAGACAGTCAGTGTGGTGGGTCGTCATTACACAGTAGAGGGGGCCAGAACTAGTGTGTGGTGGGTCGTCATAACACACGTGAGCTGGTTCTATTGTGGGTTGGTGGGTCGTCATTACACGACATCAGGAGTGGTGGTCGTCAGTACACACAGTCAGTGGTGGTGGGTCGTCAAACACAACCAGTGGTGGGTGTGGGTCGTATTTAACACGACAGATGTGTGGTGATGGTCGTCATTAACACTACAACAGTGGTGGTGGGTCGTCAGCAACAATACAGCCAGTGTGGTGGGTCGTTCAGCATACACTACAGTAGGTGATGGGTCGTCATACACTACAGCCAGTGGTGGTGTGGGTCGCGTACAGCACAAGCAGTGGTGGTGGGTCGTCAGTAACACTACAGTCAGTGGTGGTGGGTCGTCAGTAACACTACAGTCAGTGGTGGTGGGTCGTCAGTAACACTACAGTCAGTGGTGGTGGGTCGTCATAACACTACAGCAGTGGTGGTGTCGTCAGTAACACTACAGTCAGTGGTGGTGGGTCGTTCAGTAACACTACAGTCAAGGTGGTGGGTCGTCAGTAACACTACAGTCAGTGGTGGTGGGTCGTCAGTACACTACAGCAGTGGTGGTGGGTCGTATAGTAACAGCTATCAGTCATACGGTGGTGGGTCGTCAGTAACACTACAGTCAGTGGTGGTGGGTCGTCAGTAACACTACAGTCAGTGGTGGTGGGTCGTTAGTAACACTACAGTCAACGGTGGTGGGTCGTCAGTATCACTACAGCCAGTGGTGGTGGGTCGTTAGTACACTACAGCCAACGTGGGTGGGTCGTCAGTAACACTACAGTCAGTGGTGGTGGTGGCCGTCAGTATCACTACAGCAGTGGTGGTGGGTCGTCAGTAACACTACAGTCAGTTGTGGTGGGTCGTCAGTATCACTACAGCCAGTGGTGGTGGGTCGTCAGTAACACTACAGTCAGTGGTGGTGGGTCGTCAGTAACACTACAGTCAGTGGTGGTGGGTCGTCAGTAACACTACAGCCAGTGGTGGTGGGTCGTCAGTAACACTACAGCCAGTGGTGGTGGGTCGTCAGTAACACTACAGTCAGTGGTGGTGGGTCGTCAGTAACACTACAGCCAGTGGTGGTGGGTCGTCAGTAACACTACAGCCAGTGGTGGTGGGTCGTCAGTAACACTACAGTCAGTGGTGGTGGGTCGTCAGTAACACTACAGTCAGTGGTGGTGGGTCGTCAGTATCACTACAGCCAGTGGTGGTGGGTCGTCAGTATCACTACAGTCAGTGGTGGTGGGTCGTCAGTAACACTACAGCAGTGGTGGTGGGTCGTCAGTAACACTACAGTCAGTGGTGGTGGGTCGTCAGTATCACTACAGTCAGTGGTGGTGGGTCGTCAGTAACACTACAGTCAGTGGTGGTGGGTCGTCAGTAACACTACAGCCAGTGGTGGTGGGTCGTCAGTAACACTACAGTCAGTGGTGGTGGGTCGCCAGTATAATAATAACAATAACAATCACTAATAACATTACTCTTGGACGGTTCATCGTACCTGCTCTCCAACACTAGCTCAACCAGGTCGAGCCTTCAATCCAGTTTACGCTCGAAGAAAGAAGTCGACCACACTCTTCCTTACCTCATGTTCCGCTCTGTCAAGCTGACCATGAACTTCGCTTTAAGATCTGCCGCAAACTGGCCAACCAACGCGATCTCCTCCTCTTCTACTCTCACCACCATAACAAGACTAAACCTGACGTTATCATAAGCTTCTTTCTGTGTTACCTTCCGTATCTGCAGCAGAGAATTCCTCGAGGAAGAATGAATGCTCGCTCCTCAAACAAGTGTTTTCTCAACATCATTATTCTCCTCATTTTATCATAGACTGCAGACAGCGTACATAATAATGAACTCACGTGGACGAAACACCGCCTCTGCAGTGTTCCTCCAGTCTTGTGCTCACGTGAAATTATTATTATAATCAAGGGGGAAGCGCTAAACCCGGAGGATTATACAGCGCCTGGGGGGATGTGGAAGGCATTCAGGCTTAATTCGGGGAACTGGAGCACAGATCCAATTCCCTAAATCAAGAGCCCCTCACCAACATCAAGGAACCTTCCTTGAGGGGACTCACGTGAAAGAAGTTATATAGTCCTCCCTAACAGCTCCATTGTCAAACACGTCTCAGCATTCTCTCCAGCACCCGAATTCCAAATAACCACCACCGCTTCCACTGCCATTAATTAAGCCACCGGTAAAGGTCCCCACCAACGAGCTCAATCCACCGCAGTCGTATACACAATCCCTTGCAATGATTGTGAGAAAATATGCGCCGTCAGAGCTGACTATCAGAGTCATTATATCAAGGCTGAGGGACTGATTACCTCAAACTCCTCCTGTTCTTCACCATTCTCTTTGTATGGACTGATGAAGCCACTGTGTGGCGAAACGTTTCCTCATTAAAGATACCCAAGTGTTGCACATGTGTCTAATTTATCAGCTTTATCAAAGCTCCTGAAGAGCGAAACGTTGCATTAGCTGCACATGTATGTCCTTTTACCTAACGTACTATACACCGACAGGGGTATGATACTAATATACATTATGCGGCTTACGGCATCTGATTGATAATAAGTGTGTGCACTTATGAACACCTTATAGGTTCAGAGAGACTGTATATACTCCAAGAAAAAAAAAAGGCATAAACACAGACATATAAATAATTGGGAAATATAATCAACTGGAAAATTAAAGCAGACGAGAAATATAATATTTTTATAAAGTTTACTCAGATATAAAACACATAAACCTGAAATATTTCCTAACTGAATCAAACAATGGAAAAAAATGATCATACATGAACCGGGTACCTTGCTTCCTCCAGCGGAAAGTCCGGTGCAGCCCCGAGGTAATAACGAATGTTCACTGTGGCCCAGAGTGACATGCAGAATAACCGCTGGAAGAGACACGTTGACAGAAACTGAAGATTCAAAGCAAGTCAAACTGAAAACTGAGATCCTGACGTCCGTTAAAACGTGAGATCTAATAAGGAACGGATGTCAACACAGGGAGGGAGCAGCGCAGTGCGACTTATACGTCTGAGTGAACCGTGAATGACGCGGTGAAGAGCCGGCTGTCTGGGGGTTTCGGATCTACAAGGAGGTGAAGTCGGCTGTCTGGAGGTCTCGGATCTAGATGGAGGTGAAGAGTTGATAGCGATGAAGTACTGTTTCCAGAATGGCGGAGCCACAAACATTCGTAGGTCTGCTTTCTACAGCTCGGGGAAATAAAGATGGGTAGAATTAATGTAGACTTCTTGCCGAAGTCCAAAAAAACTGTCAGATCCGTCGATGTACCGCTGGCCCACTCAAAATGCTCGGGCTGGGGAAGGAAGACAAACAGAGTGGCTATCTTCACTCACACTCCATAAACTGAAGACATTAAAGACGGAGAAAAGAAAATAAAGCATAAGTTTACACTTAAAATCAAAGAAGCTACAAAATCCAGACAGGTAACGCTGGTCTGCAAACAAAATGCTTCGAAAATAAACCTTTGTCAATGGTTGAATCGGAAAAGGAAGTCTATACCTTTTGCAGTGCCAGTGGTGTGCCAGTGGAGTGCCAGTAGCGTGGATGGCGCCAACAGATCCTGTAAGCATTTGTTACTTCTGCATGGTCCCTCCAGTTAGGAAAGATGTTTTCAAGAGAAAAAAAGTGGACTGCCTAACATATTAATGCACCTGTGGTACTCGCCAGGTACTTCACGGTGAAGGACTTACCATTCCTGAGC